GCCCCTTCCCCTCCTGTTCCCGACTGCTTTCTGCACATCAAAAACCAAACGTGAACCCAAAAGGCATGTGTGACCCCCAAGAGCCCCTTGTGAGCACAGCTGGCGCTTGAAGAAGGAAGTTTGGGAGCTGTAGGAAGCAGCAAGCTGAGAGTGGTCGTGCAAACAAGTTGAAGATCCCAGGCCAGGAACTTCCAGGGCTTATTTTAAAAATAAGGAAGTGGACTGGTGTACCCATGCAACGGAAGATTCCTCGGCAAGGAAAAGGGACAACCTACTGACACATACATCATGAGTGACTCAAAGCATTAAGCAGAGTGAAAGAAGCCAGACTCAAAAGGCTATGTCAGGGTGACTCCATTTATAGGACATTCTAGAAACGGCAAAACTAGAGGGTCAGAAAATCAATTAGGACTGCCAGGGGAAGGGGGAGGAGGGAATTCACTATGAAGGGGCAGGAAGTAATCTTTGGAGTTGATCTTGGTGGTGGTTACAATAAATTTTTTACAATTCACAGAACTGTGTACGTCCAAAGAATTTCACTGTCACTTATAACTCAATAAGCCAGGAAAAAGGTGGTGGCAGGGGGCCTTGTAAGTGTGGGAAGGACAAAAGGAATAAGATGGTGTCCAGACTAAGCACGCAGGATGTTGATTTGCACCCCACTTAACATTTATACATCGCTTTCCCCTACCTATGTCATCACGAACAGGTCTTCAGCCTCCTGTTTAAACTCTCCTTGTCAAGGATACTCATAGCTGGAAGTAAAATCACCTAAACAAGTCAAGGTCTTTGACGTCCTTTGAATTTTATGACTTGCATTTCCGAGAAGGGACTTTGGCTTGTTAAGATTTCGATGCACCCATCCACTAATCTAGTAATTGACTAGTTTTCACCAAGAGTATAGAAACAAACCCCTGGTTCGTGAATTTGTACAATGCTTCTGGTTGCTTGGTCATTAATCAGCCCTGACAGGTGGAGATGTGTCTCCCGCTGCAGAAATTCTCCTTGGTCAACACGGTGTTGAGTGGAGGTAGAAAGGAGGTCCAAGGTGGTCCCATTGACAGAACCCCAGGGCCACCGTCCACATGGCTCAAGTCAACTGTGTGCTGCAGCACAGATTGAGAACACTAGAAAAAATAGAGGGTAACAAGCAACTCTTCCTGGAGGTTGTCATGGCAACCAACTCCCTTTGAACACTATTTGTCTTAGAGATTTTTTTTTTTTAAATCAGGCTTTCACAGACCAATCTTGTGCATCAGCGTCTCCCAGGTGAAGGCAAATAGAAGGGGATGCCTTGTTCTCAGAAACTGACCATCCATTGAGATGTTCTCACAGATAGCCCAGACTCACCCATCCTGAATAAACCCAGCCACATCCTCTTCTAACCTAAGCACCCAAACCTAAAACAAAACTCAAATAGTGTGCTTGCTACTCCAAAATGTACTTTTAGATTTTCTCAACTTCATCCTAATCTTGATTTCACCCAGAGGGGAGCCCCTGCTAATAGGGACAGGGTGGCTTCTCTTAATTTATGGGCCATTTCACTGCACTCACTAGCTTTCTTTGAGCTTCACTCTTCCTATCTGTAAAGTGAGGAATTATTTAAGACAAACAAGAAATTTCTGACACTGGAGTTGCACATAGGCTGTGATGGTCTGGTGACCAGGTGATTAAAATCTTGCTGTCTATCTTCTACCCACCAGGCAAATGCCTCATGGTGGTAGTTTATGTAATTTTTAAATCCCAGAGGATTAAATGTGGAAAAGGTGCAATGCTCTTACTCTCCAGAAAGGTCTACACATCCCTCTGTCTACATGGAGAATGGGGCTGGAGGAATGCCAGTCTATACACAACTACAACTTACCACTCAGCACAATGCCTGGTTTATCCAATGCATTTGCTGAATAAATGAGCGAGTGAATGAATGGACACAGATCAATCAGCACAACAGACAGTATCTCTGAAAACCTTGATTCTGTAGTGAGTACCTATCTGTGAGTGCCAAGGTTGCTAACCCATAAGGTCCCTGGGGAAAAGACAACTCTATTCAAAATGAGAGATTATGGGCTTCCCCAAATGACAGGGCCATAAGCTTGTCTTCAGAAAGGTCTTAGCACATTACTTAGCTTTAACTAAATATACTTGATGAATTGAATAACAGAAGGAAGAAAAAAAAAGAAGCAGGCTAAGAAGCTAAAGAGAGGGTAAGGGGATGAGGGAGAAATAATGACCTCAGAAAATGGACGGGCCCAGACCGGGCTGACTTTGGCTACCCTGGAAGATATGAGAGTTCACTTCATCCCAGGGCTGAACAGAGGACTCTGAAATCCTCAGACAGGAATGAGAAGACAAAGTCATGAGCCATATTGCACTCAGAATACCTGTTAATAACAAGGCGACTGGCTTTGAATGCTTGAAAGTTGTCCACAAATTAGTTTACTAAGCCACAAAGCAATTACCACTAGCACCCGTTTTTAATAAAGAAACCAAGAAATAGTATTCAAAAATTGGTAGCTGGTGTCATGGCCCAAGCCGGAAGGAGTGGTTCTTCATCCCATGGGCAGATCCCTTTTGCGCCCTTCATGTTGGTGAAGGCCTTTGGGCTAGCCTTTTTTGGTTGTGATGTTTCAATAAGAATAGAAAAGCGTGACAAAGTTTGGTTTACTTTAGTATATTAGGCATCTTACTAACATAAACTATGAGAAAGCAATTCTGACCCAATGAAAAAGTGCCAAAAGATTCAGGATTAGTAAGTCATCAGTTACTCGCACAGAAGACTGACAGAAACACCAGCCAATTGTGCTTGTAGAATTCTGCCCTCGTGGGAGATGCTTGGGTCATATCCAAAGTAATCAATGGAAAAGACGAAGAAAAGATAGATTTCCAGCACATGGCCCCCTGGCTAGAATCTGTCCCTCACTTGCTCCTCTCCCAGCCCCCTAGGCTGATTCTCTAGACTGACACGGTGGAGAATGTGTGTGCTGTAGTGGAGAAATTGATAAGCCAGACCTAATGGCAGTGCTGAAAGCTTCCCAAGTCACACTTGGACCAGGCTTTCCCAGGGATCAGAAGATGAAGAGAGGGGAAGGAGGTGCCAGCACCAAGCGAGGGCTCGGTGCAGGGCTTGAACATGCAGAAGGAGCTGGAAGCCAAGGTAGTGGGACACACCTGGAAGGTGACAACATACTGTGGCTGTGAATCTGTGATGCCCGTCTAGCACCTGCCAGTGAGAGAAAACTATAAAGGAACAGCAGTCCTAGCCCCAGTGTGCACTAGCAGACAGGGCCTTCTGGGGGATGACAAAGACTTGCCCTGACCCGCCTCCCGTGTGGGACTGACCCAGCCCCATTAAGAGCCCTCAGTGGGTAGCCTTGGGGAGCGGGGGCCAGGACAGCCCATCAGTGCAGAGAACACCTTGGCAAACAGGCCCCAGCTGGCTGACCTCTGAGATAAGCTGATCGTTTCCACCCCTGAAGCCTCTGGACAAGCTAGATGAGGTCTTGACAGCTGAGAACTTTGAAAAGCTTCCTCTAATGACACTGTGACGGGATAGCAAGGTGAGGGTGGGGGTGGGGGTGAGGGTGCTTCCCTGAGGAAGCAGCTGAGGGAGGGGTGGATTGGGTTTTCGGAGGACACTACAGATGATGCCTGATCTGATAGGAGACATGATTTCATGCTCCCACTTGGGGCTAATTTGCCAAATGAGGTAGTTCCATCCTGACCTCTCCAGGCAGGGTTGGTCTGGGAAGACAGGAGCCAGGCCTTCCTCCCAAGACTTCTGGTGATGAATAATGGCTGAGAAGAGTCAGATGTGGACTCTCAGAATGCAACGGAGGGGAAAAAATAAAGAGGAAGGGCTGCAGAGGATTCTGGGTACAGCTGGGAGCTGAATGGTACTTTCTGTCCATTGATTCTGATCCTGACACCTGCCTTTGAGACAGAGATCTCCCTCCCCTGACCCTCCAAAGCCCTGGAGACAAGGGAACCAGCTGGAAGAAGGACCTTGGGGCTTCCAGGGACACAAGTGTATGATGGTGACCCCTACAAAGCTCAGCAGGGACCACAAAGTTCCAGCCTCAGTTTGTTCTCAGAGCGGCAAGCATGGCATGAGAGTTGGGGGGCTTCAGCCTTGAAGACAAGGGCAGGGCTGTGGGTCCGTCTTCTTAGCCTGGGAATACTGGGGAGATCCCAGCTGGACTGTCAGGTCACCATTCTGGGATCACCAGCTCTCTCCCCTCTCGGCAGTGGACTAAGAGAGTGGGCGGGGGGTAGCTCCACCCAGCAGTGGGCCCCACGGCAGGAG